TCTGAGTTTCTGAGCTTAACAAACGTGTGGAACGAAAGCGGATATAGTTTTTAGTCATCACCGAGACGACAAGTTGAGTGCATTCTTTATTTAGATGGCTCAGCACTTTCTATCAATAAGTATATCAATCATGTATGTATAGTTTTTGAGCCTTTAACTAGAATATAATTGTGAATTAGACCATCACATGAAATTAAAGTAATTGCAACAAGGTTATCTCAGAACTAAGTTACATTTCGTTACCAAAAATGATAATTTACAAAGGCTTATTTAGAAAAGCCTATTTGCAAGTTTTACTTATGAATTTAAATCTATCCTATAAAGATATCAGTCTCAAAGAAGCGGTTTTTATTTATCCGATTTAGCTTTCTGTTTGATCTCTTTGAGTAGGTCCCTAACGTGTGTACCCAGAAATTCATCTATCAATAATAACATAGCCTACTTTGCGAAATTAAAGGCTGTTTTATTCATACCTATATTGTGCTAATTTTATATTATTTTATATGCATAACATTTACTTTGATTTATACTTTATTTGGCCCCAGTCTCGAGTCTTGACTCTTGTGCAAAAAATGGCAACAGCTTATCATGTCTCCCGACCCAGGTTCTCGGACTCTTAATGACTCGGCTTTCCGGTCTTTTAGAAGACGATCTAGCTACCACTCGTCAGCTGGCTTGTCGTTCTTTGGACACCATGTTCAGTCTACTCTACAATGGTCTCGGCCATATATTAGCTGCACACCCTGCCAATTGGCTTGTGCCAGTTTCTAAGGTAGTATCACCGTCGACTGTAGCCATCAGTGCAAAATCTGGTTCGTCTGTATCAGGTGAAAGTGCTGAGTCTTTAAACTTCAAAGATCACTTTGAGAAGACTGAGTTTAGTCGTCAGGTAGCCGAGTGTTGCCCTTTGCCTGGAGCTCTGGGCGATCAGATATATCGGTACTATCCGAATCTTTTGAATCGCCTCGATGATGCTAATGATGAGGTTAGTGCTTATGTTTACATGTACTTATTCAACTTCACTATTATTTACTATATCAGTAAAGTCTTTGGCGCTGCACGGAACCTATCCACCTACATATGTTAAACTGGCAATATGTTTTCAAAATCTTATCGCATCAGGCTTCATTTAGGACAGGAGGTAGATGTTCCCCATATTGGCAAGGATCCTTAACATATTTTATATAATGAATCTTTGCCATTTATTCTTCCATCTGTTCGGACATATGCTAGCTCATTCTAATAAAAAGTTTTTTATTTTGTCCATCTGGCTGCGACCACATTTACATGTAAATCAATAATTAATATGAAATTGGGCAAATATAGGCAAAGCTCCATTAAGGAATGATAGGTCTAGGTTTGCCATAGGCTTAACACTTGCTTAGGATCACGTACCAATATTTTCAAATTTCCATAATTGCCCTGGGCGTAAAATATCTTTATTTCATTATCAGCATCAAACTCGTTATTTTATTTTTTAATTCATTTTCTCAGTTTTTAATTTTCCTGCCTTCTTTACCCACCATTTGATATCATCCCGTCTCACTGCATCAGGTACGTATTTTGACCACAGAAGTGCTTATTTCCTGGAACTACCTGATGCTACGCCAGCTTACTGAACCCGCCTCCACAGACATCAGTCATTCCGCTGTCTCAGACCACTCAGGTTCTTTAACTGAATCGGCCGTTGTAACAGCTGAAGCACCAAAATCCTCTGATAGTTTACCTTCCTCCGTACCTGTTCTGCGTCAACGTCGGGTGCGTAGTGTGCATTCAGCAGTACTTGACGATTTGATTTCCAAAATCGTTGTCCACCTTGATGACCCTGAGGCAAAAATTCGAGGAGCCGTTGCTCGTGTACTTCTTCGATTAGGCAGACATTTCTCAAAAAAGAGCGTTTTCCGAGCACTCTCCAAGGCTAGAGAATGTCATCGATCCGTTGATGTATGTGAGGCCCTGGAAAATCTGCTAATTGCTTCCGCTTGAAGCAAGCTTGTAAGGTGGTCATAGTCCTCTTTTAGTCATGAAGCCAGCCTTGATTTTGACGGAACTATGTGTCCAGCTTCAGCTAAATTTTAATTTAGTTATCAAAGGCAAGGAGATTTTCGCCCGAGTTGACTTTTTCTCTATTTGGCCCTCATCACAATTTTTACTGCTATCCAACCTCCGATGACAGCTTCGCATAGTTTGCTCTCTTTGTTTAATCTGTGTACCTTCGACTCTGTGAAATAAATTCATTCTGATGTTCAAAGTTTGCATCTGCTTAGTGTGAAGTGAAAATGACTTACCTAACACTTTTACTATGAATATTCATAACATTCAAAAGCAACTTCCTTCCAATGGGACAGTCATAAGATAGGGCAGTGTAAAATTCAACTTATTTATGAATATATTTTCTTGCTCAGCTGAGGTATAGCTAACAGGTTTCAGACGCCGATCAATCGGACTGGTTTCGTTTAATTGATATTGGTCACTAAGCTTCATTTATTTGTCCGATTGACACACTGTTAAAATCTTAAATACCTTCTCACCACATAAATAGGTCTATTAAAGATATCTGGTTCTCTAGTTATCACTATTCGATTTAGGATTTGTATTCAAAACTGAATATGATAAAATAAAAACAACACTTGGGCTTTCATTTGAAGTTGATATTAAGTGAGGTTGAAGGATTTGAAGGGATGATGGCCTGAGAGGGTCCTCACTACTATCCATTATTATCACTTTTCTGGGAGAAAGGGAGAATGCGATGAAGTAGTAAATAATGATTGACGGGAGTTTGAAGTGACAGATGTCGGTCCTAACGCCTAAAATATATTTGTGTTTTTAGTAGATATGTGAAAAACTGGTTTTCGAAGAATCTCTTAATCAAACTTCGACTTATTCTCATTTTGCTTCAATAAGAAAGGATTCATAGGTTAATCTCACCGGAAGCCGAAAGAGCATTCCCTTGGGTTAGGGACCAGATAGGTTCAAATAAGTCTTCGGACGAAAGCTCAACAAAGATTGATCTGGGTTAGTGGACGGTGTGCCGAGTACTTAAATAAGTCTGAACTCATAGCTCCAAGGAAATCCTCCGGCTTCCGGTGATACCTATTTACAACTCCCTTAACTCACCCCTACGAACGAAACAAAAGGTATTCCAAAATTTTTTTGCTTTGCCCTGAGATTCACTACTTGAATGAAATGGCTAATACCACCACTGGATACTCCATATTTTGCAGGTATGTTGCCATGTGGAGGTGATGGTATTCTGATAAACTCTGATTTAGTACAATTTAAATTCAATTGCACTTTTCGGGATTCTGCTATTAGTGATGCACTTTTTAAAGTTGCATAACTATCATCGATCAGCAACTATTCTATTTGTTAAGGTGGGTTTTAACTCTCCTACAATAAGCTTCAAGGACAGAATAAAAGTTGCATTTCGCCTATTGAGAGATGAGATTATATGCTTAAGCGTGATAGCTTTTGGGGCACCAAATTTGCATCTTCCATAAAGTTTCACTCGCCCTTTTGTTGGAAAGCTTATCTGGAAAACTAGATGCTCCCTTGTTCGTGTTAAAGAGGAGTTATATGCAGACGTTTAATCTTGTGAAACGAATAAGCTGTTGGGTTCATTAAGTCATTTATGACATGTCAATAGAATATGAGTTTCGGTTGATTGATTGAGGTGAGGTTCCAATTATTCCACATTAGATTTTAACTATAATGCGATTTGTTCGTCACCCTCTCTGATAGTTCCGACGATGCTTTGCTTACTTTGTCTTGAAGGCTCAAAGTCAGCGATCGGTTCACTCTGATCTATTTCTTTGACCTTGGGCATGCCCTGTTAGTGTTGTAGGCATCTCGCGTGTCTGAGCAGGGTAGAGGGTTTGTGTCAATATTATTTAAATGATAACTGCACACTAGTTAAATAGCCAACTAAAATAGTTAAATGGAGCTAAACGGATCAGTGCGAATACGACAGTAACGACATTGAACCTTGCCTCTTGTAATTTAGTGTTTTCATGAACCTTGTTCTTGAGATTTAATCAATATAACCTCATCCATCGTTGTGAAGATGTCTTTATGAATGAGATACGCTTACCTTAAAGGACATCATCACATTTGGAATCGACATTCCCTGATAATTTTTCTGGTCAGTCTTATATTCACTCAACTCAGAATTATGGTACCTGCCTGCAATGATCGCCTACCCTTTTTTTGTCATATACTAACTTTCTAGTCATGCATAAATCAGTCTGTCTGGTTAAAGTGCGTGGTAAATTGCCTAAGGGTCTACCAAGTTCTATTCTATGCCTGGGTAGGAGTATGCTTGATGCTGTGTTGGAAACGTCCAGACCGTAACGGTTCAAGGTAGTGCGCCTGTAAATCAGAAGAAGGCAGTCCGCTAGTAGGCTTCAGAAAAGCCGTCTGTCTATGTGCAGTATGGAGAAGAGAAAATGTGCGTAGAGTGGAAAACTAGTCCATCTGTGTGATAAGAATGCTGAAGAAGGTGAAACGAGTGTACAACTGAGAAAAACTTCTGCCATCTTAATTCACATTTTTTAACCCTCGAAATGGTTAAAGTTTATTTTATTGGTCATTTTATGCAAAATTCTAGCCGCCCTCAAATAATCTATCTACACGTTTAAACGATTTGTATGGGTAAAGGGTTAAGTAAAACTTTCTGCACATATCAATGTAGAATTGCATTTTGGTATTTTAAATCATCAACATATTACATATGCAGAAGCTTGATGCATCCTGTCGGCCTAGTTTTTATGAGCTTTTTTAGAAAGGAGACCTTCCGTTCTTTTCATGCAGTTTAAAGTCTTAGTCTCCTCGATTTTATATTTTTTTCCTATTCTCTGAGCTTAGTAATATCAATTTGTTGGTCCAGATCCCTCTACATATTTTCAATATTATAAAGTAGAGGCTAAGGCCGTTCAAAAACATTTGGCCTTCTTTACTGTAAGTACTACATGGTTGGATCTATGATATTTGGCAAACCATTGCCTAACAGTCAAAAAATTGTTCTTATTTTATTGTAACCTGCATTAGGAGGGTAAAAAAATTTCAATTTCGGTTACTTCAGTCTAAAGCAATTTATTGCAGAGTGCTTCTTTTATTAGGGTTATCTTTTTTATAAATTAGATGGCAAATTTTGTGACGATGTCGTGGAAAACCTTTCCTTTGAACACCTAAATGCAAATCCATGTTTAAGCAGTGTTGCATATTAAGCTTGTGAGCAGTTAGCTTAGGGGCAGCTTAATTTTTGAATACGTCGCTTGTAATCATATGTAAGCTCTATTTTGCATCTCTGAACAGTCTTCGGGAAGTTATTTAATAACTTTTCTTTCTCTTCTAGATCTTTTCTTGATTTCAGTGGTTATATGCAATTTTTATTACCTAGCTAAGTATTCGACAGTGTAATTTGCTCATTGGAAGGGCTTTGCGAGTTTTTTAGCCTTTACCTTTTTTTAAAAGTGTATTATCATTGTCTACTTACAGTAGCGTATTTTGCTTGAAAGTAGGCTATACGACTCTTAATCTGAGAGGTAAGGTTCGGAAAATTTTGGAGATACTGGGATTTCCTTTAACTATCTAAGTGAGGACTTAATGATTCAATAAACATTTTAAGTCTTATTAATAGTAGTAAGGATAATGTCAAACTATGGGAACTTTTGCATTTGACATCTCTGTTGTCTCCTTATGAATCCTTTACAAAATTCAGCTTATCAGATTCATTGAAACCCAGCTGTTCTTCGTATTTACGTAAGGTTGACGAGAGGCGCAATCATTGGTTCGAGTTTGCAAGTGTCAATAGTCTATCATTGTAGAAGTGTATCATTTTCGACCTGTTTTTATGTTTCACCGGTAGTAATTCTGCCCACGACTTTGAAGAGAGGACTTGATTATCCCGGTGAATCTTATTCTTTTATTTATTCCGAATAGCTGTTTTCTTTGAAGCTGGACTCCATTTTCGATATTGCCTCATTTAATTTGCACCACCAGGGTGATCGGAGCTGATAAAATCGGTATC